CACACATCAATACTGCAGGTATTCACACACCAACACAGCATATATTCACCCACCAATACACACACACACACACACACACACACACACACACACACACACACACACACCAACACAGCAGGTATACACCCACCAATACACACACACACACACACACACACACACACACACACCAACACAGCAGGTATACACACACTAATATACACACACACCAACACAGCAGGAACACACATACTCACACACTCTCTCTCATACACACACACACTTAAGCTCAGGTTAGCTGACAGTTTACCTGGAGTCTGTTTACACGCTGTTTTCCCATTTCCATGGTAACAGGTCTGTGTGCGATCCACGTGGCTGTTCTGGCCAATCAGCTGTCTTCTCTCAGGGAACTTCTGGAGGGCGGGGTCAATGTGGATGCTCAGGAACGCAGTTGTGGGCGGACCGCCCTGCACCTCGCCACAGAGGCGGAGAACGTGTCTTTGGCGGGCTGCCTGCTGCTGGAGGTGACTCACCTGTAACTCACCTGTGATAGGCCAGCTGATCTTGTCCGGCTCTGTTTGGGTTCAGTCTGAGTGAACTGGTTCTGGTTCTGGTTCTGTCCTCAGGGGAATGCCAAAGTGGACAGCTGCACCTTTAACGGCTCCACCCCTCTCCACATTGCGGTGGGGCGGAGCTCCATCAAGCTGACCGCCCTCCTGATGGCGGCAGGTAAAAACACGTTAACCCCGTCTGACACCTGTGACAACAGAACCTTCCACCTTTTGACCTTTTGACCTCGAGCTTCTGTCTGGATCTTTCCAGGTGCAGACCCTCACCGGGAGAACTTTGAGCCCCTCTTCTTCAGAGAGGAGGAAGAGGAGGAGCAGGAGGAGGAGGAGCAGGAGGAGGATGAAGGCTACATCCCAGGAACCACTCCCTTTAACATGGCGCCCAACTCTCAGGTACAGTCTGGATTTAAAGGGTTAAAAAATGACCGTGTATTGGTGTCTGAAAACTGGAGTACCTGTCTCTCTAATGACCTGGATTATAATAATAACAATAATAATAATAATAATAACAATAATAATAATAATAACAATAATAATAATAATAATAATAACAACAACAACAATAATAATAACAATAATAATAATAATAACAATAATAATAATAATAATAATAATAATAATAATAATAATAAAAAACAATAATAATAATAATAATAATAATAATAATAATAACAATAATAATAACAATAATAATAATAATAATAATAATAATAATAGTAATAATAACAATAGCAATAATATAATGTAAAAATAACACTGATAATTATTATAATAATAATGATAACTATTACAAAAAACCAAAATAATAATAATAAAATGTTATTAATAATAGTAACAATAATAATTACAATTATAAAAAAATACTACTATTTCTACTACTACGTCTTCTAATAATAATAATAATAGATAAATAATGATAATGATAATGTTATAATAATAATAATAACAATAATTATAACAATAATAATTATAATAATACTAAAAATAAAGTTAATAATAATAATAATAATAATAAAACTAATAAAAATTATTGATAATATAAAAATATTGATAATTATCATAATAATATTGATAATTATTTTATAAATAATAATAAAATAAAATAAAATAATAACATGATATTAATAATAATAATAATAATAATAATGATAATAATAATGATTATTATTCTAATTATTTCTATAATTATTTATAAATATATATATATATATATATATTTCTGATTATTATTGTTATAATATATATTATGTTTCATGTTCATCTGTCTGCAGGTGTTGGAGCTCCTGAAGGGTCAAGAGTACACACCTAAAGCTCCACAGAGAAACTTCAGCCCTCCTCCAGGTCAGATGATCACCTGATGTTCTTTCTCCCCCACAATAGAACCTAGAAGTCTTTACTGTCTTAAAGGTGTAACAGTGAATTCTTTTGTCCCTGAGCAGCAGAAACACGTTCACTCACTCACTCACTCACTCACTCACTCACTCACTCACTCACTCACTCACTCACTCACTCACTCACTTTATGTAGAAAATCAACGTTTTCAAAGTCAGTAAGGACAAAAAAAATCTGTTTTTAGGGGTTTAAAAGTTTTTAAGAGTCAGACATCTGCAGATCTGATTATTCTGAACAGACCCAGACTGGGTCATCAGGTCTGGACTCACTAACAGTCTAGAGGGGCCTGAACAGAGACCAACTGACTCCTCACTCAGTTCTAGATCTTCTAGGTTCTTTATCTAACCCCCAATTTTCACCACATCCGGAACGGCTCCGATTTTCGCCGTCCAGCAATTCCTACCAGATCTGTTTGTGAGGTGAATATTTACGGTGGATTACAGACAGCTGTAATCACGAGAACTCACAAGAACCCACAGATTCATGTTCAATCACTCGATAACGAGTCGTCTCTCTAAAGACAGACACATAGACATATAAGCAGTAGATTGTGTCCTTCCAGAGGAGGAAATCTACTTCTAGACTTCTAGAATCAGCATCTCCTCATCCATGGTGTCATCGGGGTGAAATGACGTCTAAAAACCTTTCACTTGTTCGTCTCCGCCCGTTTGCATGGTGTGAAATACGATCCTCCTGAAACACGGAGTGTTTTATTTTGAAAAGAAGCCGGATGTTTTATTTTGTGTCTGTGCCCGACTTCCTTTCCAGCACGGGTTAATCTGTGCTGAATTTATCCGCCATGCTCCGGCGTCCAGAAAAAATAGAACTCTTGTGATCAGCTGAGGAGTCCGGCGATCCGCAGAGGAACGGAAAGAAGTCGGTGTAAATTGACACGTTAACTTGAATGGTTACGATCAGCTACGATCGGAGGATACGACCTTTTAGGAGACGATCAGGATGAAGGTGGAGGTCGGGGGTCAGAGAGATTTCAGACTGTGTCTGTGTGTGTGTGTGTGTGTGTGTGTGTGTGTGTGTGTGTCTGTAGGGGACCTGTGCAGTCTGGATCTGGTCCTGAAGCAGCAGGTGTGTCTTTCTCTGGAGAGTGAAGGATGCTGGGAAAGTCTGGCTCACAGTCTGGGTCTGGGGATCCTGAACACGGCCTTCAGACTGAGTCCTTCTCCTGTCAAGACTCTGCTGGACAGTTACGAGGTACACACACACACACACACACACACACACAGACTGTGACCTTTGACCCCCGCTCGGATTGGTGGAGGCACTCAGACTGGTTTCTGTCCTGCAGGTCTCAGGGGGGACGGTCCAGGACCTGCTGGCTGGTCTGAGGTCACTCGGGGACAGCAAAGCCCTGAGGATCCTGGAGGGGGCGCTTGGTCACCGTGACGACCTGAAGACACGCCAGTCTGTGAACCCTCAAGTCCAGGACCTGAAGGGGGACGCTCGTATCGACAGTGGGGTGTGTGACAGTGGGGTGGAGCTCTCTACGGCGTGATGACATCATCCACCGACGCCAGCTGAGGTCATCAGAGGGAGATGATTTTATCATCCTCATCACCATCATCATCATCATCATCATCATCACCATCATCATCACCATCATCATCATCATCATCATCATCATCACCACCATCATCCTCATCACCATCATCATCATCATCATCATCATCACCATCATCATCACCATCATCATCATCATCATCATCATCATCATCACCATCATCACCACCATCATCATCATCATCATCATCACCATCATCACCACCATCATCCTCATCACCATCATCATCATCATCACCATCATCACCACCATCATCCTCATCACCATCATCATCATCATCATCATCATCACCATCATCATCCCTCCATCATCATCCTCATCCTCATCATCATCCTCATCTTCACCATCATCATCATCATCATCATCATCATCTTCACCATCCTCATCATCTTCACCATCATCATCATCATCCCTCCATTTTTATCACCATTCTCCTCCTCCTCCTCCTCCTCCTCCTCCTCCTCCTCCTCCTCCTCACCATCTTCCCTCCCTGTGGTTCTCCTCCTGTCTGGTTCTGAAGGTTCTCAGTCTCCGGTCCTCGGTCCAGTGTTGATCAGCTGTTGGTCTCTAATTGGTCCTTCAGTCCTCTCAGCTGTTTGTTTTGAGGTCATTCAGGGTCAAACAGACTGAAGTAGTTCTTTAAATCTGGATCCGTTCAGTCCGGTCCCAAAGAGAGGAGATGATCTTCATCAGGTTCCTCTGCTCCTCTTCACACTGAGGGAATATTTCCATCATGAATTCTTTTCTAAGGTTACGAATTTGACAAATTAGAGGCGGGACTTTCATGACCATGGTAGGCAGACAGGATGTTAGCACTGAGGCTAAAGACCTCCTCCATCTCATCTCCTCACAAAGTTGGGTTGGGTTTCGTCCAATCAGAGCACAGATCACTCCGACAGCCTAAAGTGTAAACAAACCAAATGTCTCCTGAGACTGACGCGCTGCTCTGCAGACCGTGGGCTTCACCCGTGTTTCTGAGCCCAGAGTAGAACTTGTTTGGCTGACGGGATAGAAAAGGACAGAGTGAGGCTCTGTGCAGGAGAGGATCTCTGAATCTGGCTCTGAAACTGCGTGAGCAGCAGATCAACAAACAGTGTCTCCAAAGTCCAAACTTGGGCAGCACCTCTGATCATGGTTTCATTGGTGGTTGAGGTTGAACCCTCTTCAGATGTGTGTTTAGAGGCTGCTGAATGAAAGGATGAATGAAAGGTGAATGGGTTTGTAGCAGACCCCAGGGGTCTGCAGGGGAAGGTGCTAAAATACCAAAATGATTGTAAAGCAGCTGAAACGGCCGTCAGGATCGCTTCATGTTTGTCTCAAGTCACTTTTGTCTTTTAACCGTGTCAAAAACAGTCGAGGATTATTGTGTTCAGGAGAGACAAAATGTGAAAGTGTCCTTTAAAGTCTGCATGCTGACAGCTTTTTCTGTCTGTTTAGAGTTTTTCATGTTTAGGAACGTTTATTTCCTGTCTGTCTTTCTCCAAACCTGATACACAGCAAAGAAAAAAGAGAAAATGATTTTGGAGGCATTGTGGAGAAAAGAACCACCTGATGATATTTCTATCTCTGCTGCTCTGTACAGGTCAGCTTTCCATCGTTCAGACTTCCTTTTTTAAATAAAGTGGTTTTTATATTTAATCCTCTGCTCGTTGTTTTCACTGTGGTCTATACACACACGTATATATATATATATATATATATATATATATATATATATATATAGTGACACTGCTCAGGCTTCAGTAAATTTTTTTTCTTAATGTCATCCATTTATTTTTAAACTCATTAAATTTCCCTTCTTAGGAAAACTGTAGATAATTTTTCTGCGATGTCCCTCTTTTGAGATTGTTTCTTCCTAAGATTTAAATCTTATTTTGTTTTAAAAACAGAAGAAAGTTTTTTATTTATGAGAAGTTTCTCATTATTCTTGATTCCTCAGAAAAACATTTTTCTTCATTCCCATCAATCAGAAAAGAGCAGATGAGTTTTATCTCCACAGAAGTGAATTCAGAGTTTGATTTATTTTCACACTTGGACTCCAGCTCGATGCTGTTTCCTGCCGCCATGTTGTTGTTGTGATTTTTCGGTGCCGTGGATTTGAAGCGGAGTGAGACCTCTCTCTGCCGGTCCTCTCACAGCCTCTCTGTGGGGAACGGAAGACATTTTGAGGCGCTGCGGTCTCGGTGGTCCGGTCCTTTCTTTGAGGGTCAGCCTGAAGTCCGGGCTGGGGGGTTCGGTCTCTACATCGAGACAAATACAAGAAGAACATAGAGTCCAGATCAGAACAGAACCAGCAGGACCAGAACCAGCAGAGTCCTAGATGCTCGTTAGTTAGCGTCTCCTAGCGGGCCTCCTCCTCTCCTCCTCTCCTCCTCCTCCTCCTCGACAGCCGGTCCGGTTCCTCCTTCCTCCGACACCATGGCTTTAAAACGGATCAGTAAGGTACCAGAACCTCTCCTATCATCTACTGGAGCTCAAGTACCGGGTCAGAACCGGGCTCTGTGTCCGTTAGCAGCTTTAGCTTCTTCTGCTATGAATGACATAACGGTCCGTTACAGACCGTCCGGAACCCGAACTGGGTTAGTCTACCGTGTGTGTGTGTGTGTGTGTGTGTGTGTGTGTGTGTGTGTGTGTGTGTGTGTTCTCCTTCTGCCGGTTCGGTTCGCTCAGTAAAACAAAGGCTCAGTTTACAGACCTGAGGTTAGCTTAGCAACACACACACACACACACACACACACACACACACACACACACACACACACACACACATACACACACAACAAACAGACACACACACACATACATACTGTGACACACTAAACAGACACACACACAACAAACAGACACACACACACATACTGTGACACACAAATAGACACACTCACACACACTGACACACTAACACACGCACACACACACGCACACAGGCCTGTCGCTGAAACACTGAGAGGCTAATTTAGACTGTTAGACATTTAAACACCTGATACCTGCAGGTTTATACACACACACACACGCACACACACACACACACACACACACACACACACGCACACACTAACTGTCCTCTTTCAGGTTCTACTCAGTCTCAGTCAGAACCTCAGAGTCTCAGGGTCCAAAAAGTATTTGGTTCTGTTCAGAGCTGTCAATCCTCACTTCAAAGTGAGTTAGTTCTTATTCTCATACAGAGTAATTTTTTATTCTCAGACAGAGTTAGTTTTTATTCTTATAGAGTTAGTTTTTATTCTTATAGAGTTAGTTTTTTATTCTCATACAGAGTAATTTTTTATTCTCATAGTTATTTTTTAATTCTCATAGTTTTTTATTCTCATAGTTATTTTTTATTCTCATACAGTTTTTATTTTCATACAGTTAGTTTTTTATTCTTATAGAGTTAGTTTTTTATTCTCATACAGTTAGTTTTTTATTCTCATACAGAGTAATTTTTTATTCTCATAGTTATTTTTTAATTCTCATAGTTTTTTATTCTCATAGTTATTTTTTATTCTCATACAGTTTTTATTTTCATACAGTTAGTTTTTTATTCTTATAGAGTTAGTTTTTATTCTCATACAGTTAGTTTTTATTCTTATAGAGTTAGTTTTTTATTCTCATACAGTTAGTTTTTATTCTCATACAGTTAGTTTTTTATTCTTATAGAGTTAGTTTTTATTCTCATACAGAGTAATTTTTTATTCTCATAGTTATTTTTTAATTCTCATAGTTATTTTTTATTCTCATACAGTTAGTTTTTTTTCTTATAGAGTTAGTTTTTTATTCTCATACAGTTAGTTTTTATTCTCATACAGTTAGTTTTTTATTCTTATAGAGTTAGTTTTTATTCTCATACGGAGTAATTTTTTATTCTCATAGTTATTTTTTAATTCTCATAGTTTTTTATTCTCATAGTTATTTTTTATTCTCATACAGTTAGTTTTTATTCTCATACAGAGTTAGTTTTCTATTCTCATATAGTTAGTTTTTATTCTCATACAGTTAGTTTTTTATTCTCATACAGTTAGTTTTTATTCTCATACAGAGTTAGTTTTTATTCTCATACAGAGTTAGTTTTTCATTCTCATAAAGTTAGTTTTTATTCTTATAGAGTTAGTTTTTATTCTCATGTAAAGTTAGTTTTTTATTCTCATACAGAGTTTTTTATTCTCATACAGAGTTATTTTTTATTCTCATACAGAGTTATTTTTTATTCTCATACAGTTATTTTTTATTCTCATACAGTTAGTTTTTATTCTCATACAGTTAGTTTTTATTTTTATAGATTTGGTTTTTATTCTCATACACAGTTAGTTTTTATTCTCATTCAGAGTTTATTCCATTAGTTAAAGTCTCACTCTTCTCTATGTTCAGTTTCAGCAGAACGTTTGTTCTGTAATTCTGAGATTATTCTCATTATTCTCAGATGTTCAGGGTTTCTTGGTTAATGTAACTGAACTTTTTAGGAGTTCCACTTTGTCAGCGTTCTTTGATTGATATGGTTCCTGTTCATGTGAAACTGTAGACCCTGAGAACACGTTACAACATGGTAATGTGAGAACTCCTCTTTTAGACCTGAGTCCTTCTCAGTGTTGACTGACCTACAGACATTTTCCTCACATTTATAAATTCTCCAACAGTCCTGAGAAATAAAAGACTTACAAGATTCTCATAACCTTCAGAGACGGAGACATGACCACCATGTGACCTATGACCCCAAAACATATAGAAACATAACCAATGTGGTATTTAAGAGGCTGCAGCGGTGTGTGTGTGTGTGTGTAAACGTTGAAAATGTAAGACCTGAAGTGTCTGTATCACAGACTCTTGTACATGAGTGTCTGTATCACAGACTCTTGTATGTGAGTGTCTGTATCACAGACTCTCGTATGTGAGTGTCTGTATCACAGACTCTTGTACGTGAGTGTCTGTATCACAGAGTCTCTCATACGTGAGTGTCTGTATCACAGACTCTTGTATGTGAGTGTCTGTATCACAGACTCTTGTACGTGAGTGTCTGTATCACAGAGTCTCTCATACGTTAGTGTCTGTATCACAGACTCTCGTATGTGAGTGTCTGTATCACAGAATCTCGTACGTGAGTGTCTGTATCACAGACTCTTGTACGTGAGTGTCTGTATCACAGACTCTTGTACGTGTCTGTATCACAGAGTCTCTTGTATGAGTGTCTGTATCACAGACTCTCGTATGTGAGTGTCTGTATCACAGACTCTCGTATGTGAGTGTCTGTATCACAGAATCTCGTACGTGAGTGTCTGTATCACAGAGTCTCTTGTATGAGTGTCTGTATCACAGACTCTTGTACGTGAGTGTCTGTATCACAGACTCTTGTACGTGAGTGTCTGTATCACAGAGTCTCTTGTATGTGAGTGTCTGTATCACAGAGTCTCTTGTATGTGAGTGTCTGTATCACAGACTCTTGTATGTGAGTGTCTGTATCACAGACTCTTGTACGTGAGTGTCTGTATCACAGACTCTTGTACGTGAGTGTCTGTATCACAGAGTCTCTTGTATGTGAGTGTCTGTATCACAGAGTCTCTTGTATGTGAGTGTCTGTATCACAGACTCTCGTATGTGAGTGTCTGTTTCACTGTTTTTGACTCAAATCTCTTAAACGACTTCAGACCTGAACATTTACGCTGACTGCGCTGACTGAGATGTGATATCTTCTCCCCTGGTGATCTGAAGGACCTGTTCATCCTCATGCATGTCCATCCACCTGCTCTGAAGTGAGGACAAAGCTGAAATTGTCCAAATGTCCCCCTCTCTTTGTTCCACACTGCAGAACTCGTCCAGTTATAAAATAGACACAGATTCGCACCCGTGCGCACATGCAGGAGCACACAGACTTTTCCTTACACACACACATATCCCACTCTTAGACATCTATATCTCGACGCATAGTTTGATTTAATTTTGATAATGTTCAGACGGTGAAATAAAGCTTCTCTCAGTCCATAAATAAAACACTGCGTACGCGGCACTGAAGAAGTTAAACTTGTGCGTTGGAACAGTCTGTGGTATGAGTGTGTAAAAGTCCAATTTAGAGTTCTGCTGATGGAGTGAGTGTGTAGAAAAGGTTCCTGTTTGTTGTTTGGTGCTGTTGCTCAAAATAAGGATGACTGTCCTCAAATCTGAAGGTTACGATAACGGTCAATCGTAGATATTTGTGCTTTTATTCCCTCCTCCTCTAATCCCGGTGGCGGTCATGTGACCAATCTACAGCAAGTAAAGAAGGTTAAAATGCAGTGAAGGGCGGCGAAGTGAACCTGATGTGCTGCTGTCGTCTGTTTTCATGATCCCCAGACAGACGCTCTTTAACAGCTAAATCAATGAGATGAACACATGAGTGACAAACACCTGTAGACCTGTAGACCTGTACACCTGTAGACCTGGGTACCTGTACACCTGTAGACCTGAAGACCTGTACACCTGTACATCTGTAGACCTGTAGACCTGTAGACCTGGGTACCTGTACATCTGTAGACCTGTAGACCTGCACACCTGCACACCTGTAGACCTGTAGACCTGCACACCTGTAGACCTGTCGACCTGTACACCTGTACACGTGTACACCTGTACATCTCTAGACCTGTAGCCCTGTACACCTGTACATGTGTACACCTGTAGACCTGTAGACCTGCACACCTGCACACCTGTAGACCTGTAGACCTGCACACCTGTAGACCTGTAGACCTGTACATGTGTAGACCTGCACACCTGTAGACCTGTACACCTGTACACGTGTACACCTGTAGACCTGTAGACCTGCACACCTGTAGACCTGTAGGCCTGGGTACCTGTACACCTGTACACCTGCACACCTGTAGACCTGTAGACTTGTAAACCTGCACACCTGTAGACCTGTAGACCTGCACACCTGTAGACCTGTAGACCTGCACACCTGTAGACCTGTAGACTTGTAGACCTGTACACCTGTAGACCTGCACACCTGTAGACCTGTAGACCTGGGTACCTGTACACCTGCACACCTGTAGACCTGCACACCTGTAGACCTGTACACCTACACACCTGTACACGTGTACACCTGTAGACCTGTAGACCTGGGTACCTGCACACCTGTAGACCTGTAGACCTGTAGACTTGTAAACCTGCACACCTGTAGACCTGTAGACCTGCACACCTGTAGACCTGTACACCTGCACACCTGTAGACCTGGGTACCTGTACACCTGCACACCTGTAGACTTGTAAACCTGCACACCTGTAGACCTGTAGACCTGCACACCTGTAGACCTGGGTACCTGTACACCTGCACACCTGTAGACCTGCACACCTGTAGACCTGGGTACCTGTACACCTGTAGACCTGTACACGTGTACACCTGTAGACCTGTACATGTGTAGACCTGCACACCTGTAGACCTGTAGACCTGCACACCTGTAGACCTGTAGACCTGTACACCTGCACACCTGTAGACCTGTAGACCTGCACACCTGTAGACCTGTACACCTGTACATCTCTAGACCTGTACACCTGTAGACCTGTGGACCTGCACACCTGTAGACCTGTAGACCTGCACACCTGTAGACCTGTACACCTCTAGAACTGTACACCTCTAGACCTGTACACCTGTAGACCTGCACACCTGTAGACCTGTAGACCTGTACACGTGTAGACCTGCACACCTGCACACCTGTACACCTGTAGACCTGATCCCAGAGCGGACCGACGCCCCAAAAGAGAAGGATCACAGAGTTTACTGTAGACCCAGTCCTTCTGTGACGGTTCTGATCCAGTACAGACCTGAGATAAAGAAGTTTCCTGTTAAAGATCCTATAGAAAATAAATACTGTTAAAGTTAAAGACTTTAAATGTAGAAGAGCTCCAAGAAAAAGTCCTAATTCAGATCGAAACTCTTTGTGTGTGTGTGTGTGTGTGTGTGTGTGTGTGTGTGTGTGTGTGTGTGTGTGTGTGTGTTGGAGTGTCAGACCTTCAGCTGTCTCTGAATTCCTGCTCCTTCTTGACTCCTAAACTCGGCCAAACCTGAAAGATGAGCTCTGTGAGCGCAGCCTGTATGTCACATACCGACACACACTCTAACACACACACACACACACACACACACACACACACACACACACACTCTAACACACACACACACACCCAGCAGGGGGACCTGAAACTCAAATCCGGGGGTCTATAAGTGGCGCTCTGAGCTCTCAGAGTAAAAATAGAGGCGGTGCTGACTCATCAGAATGGACCGACTGTCTCAGTCTGAGTCCAAACGGGTCTGGACCTGATTCTCTTTGGGATTGAGGTCCATGGACTGGCTAGGCCGCTCCAGGACCTTGAAAGTCTTCTTAGTAAGCCACTCCTGTGTTGCCTGGGCGTTGTGTGTTTGGGATCGTTGTCACGCTGGAGGATCCAGACTTCACAGTGGGTATGGTGCTCTTGAGATGCAACTCAGCACTTTTCCAAACACGGCGAGTTCAAACCAAAGAGTTCCATTTTGGTCTCATCTGAACACGTGACATTCTCCCGATCCTCCTCTGGATCATCCAGATGGTCTATGGCAAACTTTAGAGAGCTAGTGGTCCCAGCTCTCTTCAGGTCATTGACCAGTTCCCCCAGTGTAGTTCTGTTCTCAAGATCATTTGTAGCCCAGGAGGTGAGATCTTGCGTGGAGCCTCAGGTCAGGGGAGATTGTCAGTGATCTTGTATTTGTTCCATTTTCTAATAATTGCTCCAGCAGTTGATCTCTTCTCACCAAACTGTTTGCCAAGTGTAGATTGGCTCATGCCTGTGCAGGTGACCCATCTTGTCCCTGGTTCTTTAGAAAGCTCTTTGGTCTTGGCAGTGGTGGAGAGGTTGCAGTCGGACTGTTTAAGGGTGTGGACAGGTGTCTTTATATACAAAACCAAATTCCATTGAAGTTGGGAAATTGTGATGAACGTAAATAAAAACAGAATCCATCCATTTCCTACCGCTTATTCCCGTTAGGGTCGCGGCGGCGCTGGAGCCTATCCCAGCATCTTCGGGCGAAGGCAGGGGGCGCCCTGGACAAGCCGCCAGTTCATCACGAACAACCATCCACGCTCACAGTCACACCTACCGGCAATTTGAAAGTGGCCAATTAACCTAACCGCACTTAGGCATGTTTCTGGGATGTGGGAGGAAACCGGAGTACCCGGAGTAAACCCACACAGACACAGGGAGAACATGCAAACTCCACACAGAAACGCCCTGACCCGGATTTGAACCCAGGACCTTGTTGCTGTGAGGCGACAGTGCTAACCACTACACCACTGTGCCGTCCAAAACAGAATACAATGATTTGTAAATCCTTTTAAATCTAAATTTAATTAAATTCACCACAAAGATATTTAATGTTCAAACTCATAAACTTTATTTGTCTTTGTAAATATTAATGAACTCAGAATTTCAACTCGCTCCACAGTAGTTGGACAGGGTCGTGTTTACCTCTGTGTTCCATCACCTTTTAACAAACTCAGTAAACGTTTGTGAACTGAGGAGACGAACTGTTGGAGCTGAAGGTGGAATTCTTTCCCCTTCTTGATGTTCAGCTTCAGTTCTTCAACAGTCCGGGGTCTCCGTTGTCGTGTTTTATTCTTCATAATCCTCCACACATTTTCAGTGGAGACAGGTCTGGACTGCAGGCAGGTCAGTCGAGTACCCGCACTCTTTGACTACGAAGCCACGCTGTTGGAACACGTGCAGAATGTGGCGTGGCGTTGTCTCGCTGAAATAAGCAGGAAGGGCGTCCATGACAAAGGCGTTTCTTGGATGGCAGCAGATGTTGCTCCTAAACCTGTTTGTACCTTCAGCATTAATGTTTCCTTCACAGATGTGTAAGTTACCCATGCCTCGGGCACTAATGAACCCCCAACAGTCCGGATGGTTCTTTTCCTCTTCGGCCCGGAGGACACGGCGTGTGGACTCGTCAGACCACAGAACACTTTTCCACTTTACATCAGTCCATCTCAGACGAGCTCGGGTCCAGAGAAGCCGGCGGCGGCGTTTCTGGATGTTGTTGATAAATGTCTTTAGAGTTTTAACTGACAGACGTAGAGACGAACTGAATTTACTGACAGTGGTTTTCTGACGTGTTCCTGAGTTCATGTGCTGATATCCTTTAAACACACTGATGTCGGTTTTTGATACAGCGCCGCCTGAGGGGTCGAAGGTCACGGGCGTTCAGTGTTGGTTTCCGGCTGTGCCGCTTACCTGCAGTGATTTCTCCAGATTCTCTGAACCTTCTGATGATATTTTGGACCGTAGATGTTGAAATCCTTAAATTCTTTACAATTGTACTTTAGAAACGTTGTTCTTAAACTGTTCGACTGTTTGCTCACGCAGTTGTTGACAAAGTGGTGAACCTCGCCTCATCCTCGCTCGTGAATGACTGAGAATTTTTGGCGAAGCTGCTTTTATACCCACTCATGACGCCCACCTGTTCCTTATTAACCTGCTCACCTGTGGGACGGTCCAAACAGGTGTTTGATGAGCGTTCCTCACATTTATCAGGATTTTTTACCACCTTTCCAACTTCTTTGTCGATTCTAAAGTTAATAATTATTTGCAAAAATAAAGTTTATGAGTTTGAACATTAAATATCTTGTCTTTGTTGTGTTTTCAATTGAATTGGGTTTTTCAAATCATTGTTTTCTGTTTTTATTTACGATTTACACATCGTTTTGTAGATAATGAGCTCAAACAGGCGCCGTTCATTCAGGTAGCAGGTGGAGGATAGAAGAGCGTCTTAATGAAGAAGTAACAGGTCTGTTTGTTTGTAGGCGCTAAATACTGATTTTCTGCACCTTATTGTACAAATAAATTCTTTATCAATCAGACGATCAGATTTTTTTTTTAACATTCTGTCTCTCACAGTCGAAGTTTATCGATGATGAACATTTCAAACCATCTTTTTAACTGGGACAACTTAAAGAATCGGTGGCTGCCGAATATTTTTTTGCCCCACTGTGAACCCGGTCTCACCTGGTGTCACCTGGTCTCACCTGGTCTCACCTGGTCTCACCTGGTCTCACCCGGTCTCACCCGGTCTCACCCGGTCCCCTCTGTCTGTCTTTCAGGAACTAACGGATCTGTCCAGAGACCCTCCGGCTCAGTGTTCTGCTGGACCCGTGGGTGAAGACAGTAAGATCTCCATGATCAGACCCAATCAGCTGTTCTTGTTTGTTTACATTTGCTGATCAGCTGACTTCCTGTTTACCATCAGCTGACTTCCTGTTTTTGTCTCCACAGTGTTTCATTGGCAGGCGACCATCATGGGCCCGGTGAGTATCAGAGTCCTCCCGGCTTTATCTAGGACCAGAACCATCAAACAGAACCAGCAGAACCTGTGAGGATGTGGATCGGTTCTGATCTCAGACTGTGAATCTCTAACCCTCTCTCTCTCTCTCTCTCTCTCTTTACCCCCCCCAGCCCGACAGTCCCTATCAGGGTGGAGTTTTTTTCCTGACGATTCATT